CAATACCTGCCAATGCCAATTGAGCTGTTTCGGACAAATCGATGCTCTCGTCTAATGATTCAAAACCATATGGTCAATCACAATAGTTCTGGATTTTGTCTTTTCTTATTTGTCCTGTCGGTGAGTGCAGCATAGCACGGTTAGTAGAGTAATGCCATGGCCATCTTCATCACTAAAATGGAATCATTACACAGTGAATAAATAGGCTTGCCATTGTACAAGGTAGAAAGAATTCTTCAGTGCATATTTCGTTTTTTTCCACCAGACATCATTTTCGCTTACTTTTCGTTCGATAAAAAAAATTAGTAAGAACTCAAGATGCACACAAAGTCACAAAGCAAATTGATAGCACTAGTAATTCACTAGGAAGTCATCAAGGGCTACAATTTTTGAGTTTACGGTTTTCGTCTATCACATACGCTGTTCGAGATATTTGAAAAAATCCAACTGAAAATCACCATTTCTCGCACTCAATCTAGACGTGATGACGTAATTTACTCTTAAAACGTACTGCATGGTTTCAGACAACAAGTAGGGTTTTTGAAAATCATTTACTCCATTGGAAAAATTCGGATACCAGGATACTAAGGAGATCCAGGGCTATAACCTCTATTTCGAACATCTTTTCGACAAAAATTCTAATAGATCCTAGTAATTTCCGCTTTTGTGGGTGAATTATTGGTGATAAATGATAAACATTTAAAGATGTGATAATTTGATATGAACAGTATCCTAAACTGTGTCGAGAGATAGTTTAAGGTTTCGTCTATAATACAGGGGACGCGAGATATGTGAGAAAATATAATTTTAAATTGCAATTACCAGTACAAATTTTAATATTTATCGAAGTTTGCAGTAACTTTGAGGTTCGACGAGATGTGAAGGACACGTTATACAGGGTGTATTCACAATAAAATAGTGGTCCGCAGGAGCACGATAGAAAAACAATGCGTTCCTATAGGACAAGCTGATTCGCGCTCTTTGCAAACCACATGCCCTGCCCAGCGACGATTTTTCGAAAGCCATCTTGTTTAATGTATCCTCTACTTTAATCATTCACACACATTTGTTACAATTTGTTTTGCATCTAATGACAAGTGATATTGACGCGACATAAACGAAAAAGTTACCAATAACTATGTAAGAAGGTCACTTAATACTAAAAACGCGTACTCATATCTATCAGAAGAAATAATTTACTGTTAAGCTTTACGCATTGGAAAAATAGACGAGATAAGGCATGTCGTGTGTCGTTCATTTTATTCAAAACAATTTTCGCAACAGACATTGTTGCGACTGTGAATTGTTTCGACATCCGTGGGCTCCTTTAATGGCTTGTTCGTGCATATTTTAACGATGCAAATATTCTCGATTCCAGTACAAAATTAACTCTGCACGTTGCTGTTTGTTCGGCGAACGGGATAACGAACGGGATCCTTTTAAACCCGGATTACGACTCTAATATAGATCGGGATAGGAACTTGTTGATGCTCTCAAACGATTTTCGTGACGGGCTCTTTGTTTTTTTCCCCGGCTAGTTATAGTAACCGCTCGGATGATTCGCGTGCGACGAAGAACTGCTTACGTTTTAAATTATGCCACGCCATAATAGGCAATTTGCCGGCATCCAAAGTTTTCTCTCCGGCATTTGTTCCGCTTCATTATGCATAAGACGGCAAACTATTGCCAACTAACAACTTAAACTTGTGTTGTACCCTATAGGTATAATGCGGAACGAGATACCCGCGCGTGGGGCACATAGGCTTGCGAAATTTCTCATACAACATGGATACTTAATTAGCCCGTCCCTATCTATCGACGGGTACTTCGCCCCGATGCTCAAAATTTAAGCAGGGGGGTATGATACAGGGTGTAATTAATTGCCGTTACCGAGTTAGTGTTAGTTTTTTAATAATAAGAAATACGCGTATTCAAATATTTTCATGATATCATCTTTACTTATACAGGGTTATTCACGGTGAGTGTCCTATTAGACGTTTATGTTTTAATTGCAATATTTTGCTTATAACTTGAAAACCAGTGAAAATAGATATACCATAGTTTGATACTTTTAGATGGAAAATTAATTGCTCATTTACGTGCCATTATAAAATATGGGATCTTCTAGTTAAAATTTCCACGTAATATGGATTTTTATATCTTAGGCCTTACCTTATGAATGCCCTCCCTGTTCGTGATAAGTTTATTCTCATACTATATTATGATAAAACAATTTTATAGGGAACTGCAACAAAAAATTCCTAGGGTTTAGATGTACGGGTTGCGAAAAATATGTTGAAAATATTTTTGTTTTTGTTATTGGGTGCAAAATTTTTGGAAAAGTATTTTTTATTTCCGAAAATGTTCAAGATAGGTATGGTACATGTTACATAAAAAAGTTCCAGAATGTTTCGCAGCATCCAAAAATATGATAATACACAGGGAGTCCCATTTAAAAAATGACAGTTAATATACATTACGAGTATATATGGCAACACCGCAAGGCCAAAAATATTTTTCGTAGGTAGCTCATATTTGCTTCATATTTTTACCGTAAGCCATTCTCCATAATCGTCTAATAGGACACTCACCGTGGATAACACTGTATATGACTAAATTAATTACAATAAATCTAGTTACATACATTTTAATACCGTATTCACCGATCGCCATTAAATAGATTGATATTATTTAACACATGATTACGAAGATTCACTATTCGCCATTAGAAGTAGTATCACTGTTTTGAGTCGGATTAGTTATAGTTATAGTTACTATAGAATCGAAAAATATGATAATACACAGAGTGTTCCATTTAAAAACGTTACGAGTATTACGTAGGTATGGTCTGTTCATAGATATAAGAAAGTGACCAATTGCTTTTAAATAGGATTATTGAATGGGATTATTAACATTCAATGCAACAAGATTATTACCTAATGTTTCGGAATTTAAATTCAGGTAAAATTGTGGTCCGTAATAGAAAATAATTTTTTTCCTACCTGTGTTTAATATTTTTTGTTTTGGTATACTACTTAGTTTAAGTTTATTAGTAATCATTCTTATTTCGTGAGTAATTCAGCGTGTGTTGAATCGTGTGCGAATTATGCGAATTATGCCCAAATGGAAAAAACACTATTCGATTGATACTAAGAAAGTTATAAACAATGTTTATTTGACTCTCTTTGAACATGGTGCCAGCAAGCAAGCATCTTTAGAAGAAACGGCCACATTGACGAAAATTCCAACATCAACTGTATGGAAAATTGTGAGTGTAGATGAAAGTGATCAAAATATAATACGGCGTAAAATTTACCAGTTATACGAGGAACAAAGCGTGCCTACATTAAATATCTTAATTAGGAGGCTTGAAAAAGATGAAACCGGTGTTCAATGTGGCAGAACTACATAATGGAAGTGTATTCAACACATGGGTTTTAGATTTAAAAAAATTGACAAAGCAATGGCGACTGGAATATCTAGAAAAAATTGGGATTTACAGAAAACAACAAAGACTAATTATTTACTTTGGTTGACTCAACTGATAAGTATAAAACAAACGTGCCATCAAAAAGAGGTAAAAGAATAACTATTTTGCATGCTGGCTCTAAAGATGGTTCGATTCCAAATGGACTTTGTCTGTCTGCGAAAAATATTAAAGATTCTTCTCTGGATTACCATGAAGACACCACCGCTGATTTGTTTGAAACTTGGTTTAAAAACAAAAGCAACAATCCAAAACTACATGTATAATAACGACATTTATTTTCACGAAGATTATACCAAAAAGCAATTATTACGTCTATGATAATTATGCAAAAAATCTAGGGTATGCAGTTTTAACCTTACCACTGTATATTTAATCCCATTGAACATGTTTGGCACCAACTGAAATCTGCCCTTCGTCGTAACAATGTTTTTCCCCGTGTTAACTTCAATGCCCCCAAACTTATAGAAACCGAAGTTTTTAACATCCCTCCACACAGTTGTGTAAATTCTATTAAACATATAGAAAAAGCAGAACAATGGTATATCCATATTGCATATAAAAGAGAATAATTAGAACAGGCGATGATAGCGATAGTGATACTGATACATTAGGTGAATTATTTTAAGTAATTTAAGTAGGTAATAAAAATAATTTGTAATTTTATTATAGAATTAAACATAAATACATACATACATAAATAAATATTGTTTAGTATCTTTCCTAACAAAACCCCAAATGATTAAATTCTAAGCAAAGTACGGACCTGTTCGGCCATATTTCATTCTTACAGCTTGCCCAGGTCTTTAATTAATTCGTATCAGTTAGTCACTTTCTTATATCTATGAACAGACTTTATATAGATAGGTAGTCAATAAATTTGTAATTTTTACGTCAATTATACCTAGATCTCGTTAAAGGTTCTGGAAATACAAGCTAGATATTTGGAAATCGCTGTTTGGAAAGAAAATGGCGCAAAGTGCAGCTATATAATTAATATAATAATAATAGCTATATAATTTATTCGCATAATTTCAGTAAAATCGTATTTTTTGGTATCTAATGATTATAGATTGTTGTTTATCCTAAATAGAATGAAATGCCCTGTGAATATTTTTCCATATTTTCCTTTGCACCCGAAGCTCTTGGTATATAAACCGAATGCATGCAACCGAAAAAATAACAACATCGTTTACCAGGGCAATCGGTCGCACACAACCGCCACAGACAACATTATACGTTTCGCGTAGTCGAATGTTTACGATTCGATTTTCGGTCTGAAAAAATAAATAAATTGTTTATTCCATTCAACGGGAAAGTTAGACGCGCTTTTGTTCAAGGATCTGTGTGGGGGGGGCGTGGTCAAGGAAAAATTGGATGCCAGTGATCCTCGTGAGCGTCAGTCGAATCTTTGCACTCCAAATTTTCGTACACTCTAATGAGTAGTGTGATTAAAAGTGAAAATATAAATAATTTTAAACGGTTTTTAATTATAAATAAAAAATGGTTAGAACGAGGCGATCAGGAAATACTTGTTGTGTTCCTGGCTGCTGTGTTCATGAAGACTTAAACAACATAAAATTTTATAAATTCCCCACGCAAGGCTATAACCTCGAAAAGAGAGTAAAGTGTGTTAAAGCTGTGAAAAGAATCAAGTAAGTAAGACCATGATTATCCTAATAACTGATTCAGAATTTATTGTTATAAAATTGTAAAAATGATTATTCAATTTTCTGTAGTCGTGACGGAGTTCTTGGGAACCTAGTTTAAGATCATGTATTTGCAGTCAACATTTTGTAGGAGGTAAAAAGTCGGAGCATCCTAATAGCCCTGCATATCTCCCAACAATATTTCCTGAAAAATATTACGGAAAACCAAGAATAAATAAATCAGAGCAAGTACAAGCACAAAGCAGGTAATTTTTCTATTTATTAAATCTTGATTTATAAACGTGGGTATGTTTCGCCCCGGCCATGTAATTAACATTAAAAAAAGAAAAAAAAAAATTTCCACGAAAAACTATATTTTTTGCTTTACATTTGCCGTTTAGTTGGTTGTAAAATTTTTCATTTGTCCTTAATGTAATATTTATTGAGTAAACCACGTACATTTCAAGAAGTTTCTCTATTGGTTTCGTAAAATTATAATCGATATATCGGACTGACAATTAGTAACGTTAACAGTAATTTTGTACATAATTTTTGGACCGAGATCAGTAGATATAAAACGGCTGGACGTAAAAGACCCACGTTTGTACAGAGGATGATATGAAAAATTAATTGAATCGTAGATGTTCATTTTACTAAAAAATATAGGATTTCTCGATTACAGATTCGCGAGAGCAATGCGGAGAAGTCAAAATTCAAATGGTTCCGAAATGGACAACACTAAGCTTGTTAATATAAGAACATGTAACGATGACCTCAACGACAATAAGGATACCGATAACCTGAATGATCATATGGATATACAGCAATGTAGTGAAGTTATCATTGACTCACTGCAACCGCAGTTTAAAGATGTTGCTGTACAGATTGATTTTCATGAAGAAATGAATTCAACCTTCGTAAATAACATAATATATAACATAATAAATATGGTTCTTTTTTAATTGGACTTTTTCCGTAGCTACAGTTTCAATATAGCCGACATTAATTTTTTTCGTTTCTTTATCCCATATTGGTTTCGATTTGCATGATATTGGACATTTTCTTTCGACTATTTTAGTTACCATGCCGTCACTGACTACTATTCCATTTAATAATAATCCAATTTGAAATATGTGAACATCATGCAGTAATTTGTTATTTTCGCGAGCTTTTACCTCATTTTGTATTCCATAATTTAAACTTTTCGGATGCAGAAAATCCTGTAGTAAAGATTCAGCTGAAGTGCGAGTTATTGTTTTTATCTTATGAGTTTTTGCGCTGGCCGTTATGCATACACGTCTTGCTTCAAACCATTTTACCGTCTCGCGTTGTTGTGTGGTTTGTAAACACAATGTGAAAACTTCTTCATTGTCTAATAGTATCCGGTCTCTGTAAAACTGTGCTATCTCAGATGACAGAGCCAACTTGTCTTTTCCTATGGTGATACACTGACCAGCACTCTTTAAAAGACAAGCAATCACCTTTTTCGTACACTCTGATATTAGTTCTACCTGTCGTTCTTCGAGACATATATTCATGACCACCGTACAGACTTGTTCTTCCTCACTAATATGATCGACTTTTAACCTTTTTTTAATTGGGCATTCGATATCGTCAAAGTCTTCCAAAGTCAAGTGCAGTGGCTGAGGAGGATTTTCAAGCACTTTTTGAGGAAAAAGATCATTTACCGTAGCTCCTCGAGAATATTTTTCTTTTGCTAAATGATTAATTGATGGAAATCCCCACTCTTGCTGAACACTCGTTTTAGACACACTCCGGTCATTGTTTATTTGGTGGATAAATGCCGCAATATGTTTGCATTCGCCAGTTTCTTTGGCAATGCAAGTACATTGAGCATGTACCACCTCCCTTTTACTATTCAGCTAAAAAAAATAAAGAATCAAGTAAAAAAGCCACTTTTAAAGTTTGACCATTTTTTTTCTGTAATCTGTAAATTATATGGTGTTTCAGTGACGGACGTTTGCCGAATGCATTTAGCAATTAACTTATTGTTAATATTGCCACCAACGTATTCTTCAATGTGTTTAATATGACAAAAAGCCAATTTTTTTCCTTTTTCTAGCGTACCTGCAGTGAAAATTATTGAATGGGAGATATTTTCAAACCCGGTCTGCAATATTACCGATACCATATTTTCAGGTTATGCTGTCAATAAAAAAACAATTATTATTTGTTTGTTACACGTTTTAATTACAGAAAAAAAATTTGTTAATATATAATTTTCACGTACCTTTCGTTTAAATCACTTTATACTACTTATCCATCTCAAAATTTATTGTTAATTATTTTATTTATAAATCAACACGTAAAGACAATGATAAAATTGGAGTGCTGTAATTCCTTCTTTTCCATTTTCCATTTTCACCACTTCTCCAAAAATCTTTCAATATCTCCAATCTGTAAAAGACAAAATTCCGTTTGAGATACGAGTAGTATACAGCATTTCATGCAGAGAAACGGGACGAAATTTGTTAATAGTTTTACAACCTCTGGAAGTTTCTTTAAAAAAATGCTTTAGATTAAGTATAAAGACGAAAAATGTTTGTTAATTCACAGAAAAAGAGGTTTCGGGATATTCCAATCGAATCTACAAATAAACAAAAACAAGCCATCATTCGTCGCAGATAAACACCGCGGTCGAATAGGAATTTGTAGGCGTACTTATAATGAACAAAATCTATAGCCATTAAATATCAAAAAATACGATTTTACTGAAATTATGCGAATAAATTATATAGCTATTAGGTAATACAGTGGCCCTACTACGACAAAAATTGATGCGCCCCAAGCGGCATTGATATTTTCGTAGACAGGGTAATGATTTTCCCCGCATGCTCTTACATTTCATCCACTAATCTGCACTTTGCGCCATTTTCTTTCGAAACAGCGGTTTCCAAATACCTAACTTGTATTTCCAGAACCTTTAACGAGATCTAGGCATAAATTTATTGACTACCTATCTATGTAAAGTCTGTTCATAGATATAAGAAAGTGACTAACTGATACGAATTAAGGAAAGACAAGGGCAAGATGTAAGAATTAAATATGGCTGAACAGGTCCGTATTTTGCTTAGAATTTAATTATTTGGGTTTTTTTTTAGGAAAGATACTAAACAATATTTATTTATTTATGTATGTATTTATGTTTAAATCTATAATAAAATTACAAATTATTTTTATTACCTACTTAAATTACTTAAAATAATTCACCTAATGTATCAGTATCATTATCGCTATCATCGCCTGTTCTAATTATTATTTGTTCTATATTATATGCAATATGGATATACGATTGATTGTTCCGCTATTTCTATATGTTTAATAGAATTTACACAACTTTGTGGAGGGATGTTAAAAACTTCGGTTTCTATAAGTTTGAGGACATTGGAGTTAACAAGGGAAAAAACATAGTTACGACGAATGGCAGATTTCAGTTGGTGGCAAACATGTTCAATGGGATTAAATATACAGTGGTAAGGTGAAAGCATTAAAAGTGTATACCCTAGATTTTTTGCATTATTATCACAGACGTATTCCTTTTGTAGGTTCAAGCTTTGTAGAACCTCAATTAATTGCTTTTTGGTATAATCTTCGTGAAAATAAATGTCGTTATTATACATGTAGTTTTGGATTGTTGCTTTTGTATTTAAACCAACTTTCAAATAAATCAGCGGTGGTGTCTTCATGGTAATCCAGAGAAGAATATTTTTCGCAGACAGACAAAGTCCATTTGGAATCCAGCCGTCTTTAGAGCCAGCATGCAAAATAGTTATTCTTTTACCTCTTTTTTCATGGCGCGTTTGTTTTATACCTATCAGTTGAGCCAACCCAACCCTTTTCCGGGGTATCATAAGTGTCGAACCAGGTTTCATGCAAGTAAATAATTTTCCTTTGTTGTTCTCTGTAAATCCTAATTTTTTCTAGATATTCCAGTCGCCATTCCCGAATTCTAAAAGATTCCATTAAAACTTGCCTTTTGTCAATTTTTTTAAATCTAAAACTAAAATATTGAATACCCTTCCATAAAGTAGTTCTGCCACATTTAACAACGGTTCCTCATATAACTGGTAAATTTTACGTCGTATTATATCTTGATCACTTTCATCTACACTCACAATTTTGCATACAGTTGATATTGGAATTTTCGTCAATGTGGCCGTTTCTTCTAAAGATTCACCATATTCAAAGAGAGTCAAATAAGCATTGTTTACAACTTCCTTAGTCTCAATAGAATAGTGTTTTCTACCTAAGATACACTAACTGGCACATATTTTGCATAATTCGCACACGATTCAACACACGCTGTATTACACACGTAATAATAATGATTACTAAGAAACTTAAACTAAGTAGTATACCAAACCAAAGAATATTAAACACAGGTATTATTTTCTATTACGTACCACAATTTTACCTGACTTTAAATTCCGAAATTTTAGGTAATAATCTTGTTGCATTGTATGTTAATGACCACCCTTGGATAATCCCATTCAAAAGCAATTGGTTACTTTCTAATATCTATGAACAGACCATATCTATCTATTAAATCTCGCGTATGCGCATATTTTTTTTTTCAAGTTCTATCGGCATAGGAAGGGCTTCCATACCTCTAGGCCGAAAAGCTCAAATATCTCTGAAACTACCAAAGCAGGAACGTACCACTGGTAATAAAAAAAGTTCTTAACATCTCAGTGTTTTTTAGGTTTTTGAATATAGCAAAAACAGTGTATCAATGCAAGGTTGCCAGAATTAAAAATATTATCGCGTAATCTGAGAACATTGGTGCTCTTCAAAATACGCTAGCAATCTGGCAATTATAGCAAGATTTACTCCAGCGTAATCAGAATAATGCACAGATCTCGCGGAATTGTGCGCAAGAAAAGAGCGAAAGTAAATCAAGGAATCTTTTTAACAGTTTGTTTCAAAACACATGCGATTGTTTTGGTGATTACTCAGGCTTTGATATAGTAAGAGATCCAGATTTTTCTTGGTTTTTAGTAATATAGGTTTATCATTGCTGTGTGTAGTACCCACCCAGAAAATGCAAAATTCTATTAAATTTAAAAATAGGGGTGGGTGGGGCAAGGAAGGAAAGGAAGAAAAGGAAGAAGGAAAAATAATCTTTTTTTTTCTTCTAACAATTATAAATTGTGGTTATTTGTACATTTTTAGCCCTTTGCGTAATACCAGAGGTAAAAAGGACCTTTTAAAAATTTCTAAAAAAAGCTATTCCATATTATTATATGCGAATGATAATTTATTAAGTGTTATTTTTTGGATAATTCTATAGATTTAACCTAAAGCTAGAGCTTTCGAAAATCTTATAAATAACAATAACAATTTTTTTAATAGATAGAAAAATAGTTACTATTCAGTAACGTTTTTTATAAAATAATTTTTAATAGATAATTATAATGATTATATATAATATTGTAATTAGGGGGGAATGGGGCGCAAAGGTCAGAAGCTTCGCCAAAATTTGGAAAAAGTTAGTTAAAGTTAGTCAAAAATAAATCCACCCCCCACCCCACCCCACCCTTCCCCTTCAGATATGCATATGCATTTGAGTACTATCAGATAAAATTGTCTTCTTTTCTTTCTTCTTTCTTTCTTCTTTTCAATTCCTGTTGACAAATATTTGGGCATTTCTAGCGATTTCATCTATTTTGTTGTAGCATAAAATTGAGGCCACAGAGGTTTCTGTAAGTAACCATTATGTATTACATTTCTGAACCTTTGCCGGATTTGAATTTGTGATATCTAGTAGTCAGTCAGTTTTGAAGCAAAATTGCGTTACAAATTAAAACCCAAAGTCTCAGCGTCAGAGTGATTTTTAACTTTATGGTGAACGGGTCTCCTTTTCGATTTACGTTGGTAAATAATTAG